ATACTTGCTTTTTAGTCATATCATAGCTCTACTTCATCTCTCCCAGTGTTTCCAGGTCCTCTCCTCTCAGATCTTTCCTCTCAGATCTTTCCCCTCCCACTCGCTTCTTTCTCCTCCCATCCCGACCAGGATGTCCCACCCTATTCTCTCCATTGCTCAGCATTGGCTGGTTGTTTTATTGGCAATACAGAGAACAAATGGTTCACATAAACTTGAGATAGGTAGGTGATGCTTAGGATAAGCATCACAATGCAATGTCTGGATTGAAACCGGATGGTCGGGTAGAGAAATCAGCATGTGAATGAACAAGGGTAAATTGTATACAATCTACAAGAACATTATACCAACACCCTATCAAAAATATTTTTTATGGTTGTATGTTCCACTAGCATACAAAAATGAATACTGGGTTTCCTCTGTAGAATGACTCCAGCAGTTGAATGGTGCTCCCTATTTTATTTTACAGACCAAGTTTCTTGGGGGATTTACAAATATTGAATTAAAAAGTGTCAGCAAGACTGGAGAGATTGCTCAGAAGTTAAAAGCACTGGCTGCTCTTCCAGAGGTCCTGAGTTCGATTCCCAGCAACCACATGGTGATTCACATCCATCTATAGTGAGATCTGGTGCCCTCTTCTGGCGTGCAGGCATATATGCAGTCATAACACTGTATACATAAAAAAAATAAATTAATCTTTAAAAAAAGTGTCAGCAGATATGAAATGAAGCCTGAGGGAAGGAAATTGTCTGTAAGTAGCTCCTGGTATCATTAGCCCCTCAATATAATTCCTTTGACAATTCCTAAACATTTCATTGTTAGTCAGGAGGTAAACCATTGTGAGAATGAAAAGTGAAAGATTTTGTTGTTAAGAGTCATTGGAAATATCTTGCTGCATGCTCATCCACATAAGTAGTTTTGTTGTTGCTGCTGCTGCTGTTTTTATGAGACAGGGTTTCTCTGTGTAGCTTGGATTCACTTTGAGACTAGGCTAGCCTTAGACTCACAGGGATCTGCCTGCCTCTGCCTCCTGACTGCTGGGATCATAGGCATGAGCCACCACACTCAGTTCATATGAATAAGTTTAAACCTAAAAACTATTCTCTGGTCACTGTTCTCTTCAAACCACACAGAATTTGCTATTTGGGTTGCTTGGCAATGTTTACATTGGCTAAAATGTAAGGATGAATTAAGCCATCCTACACATAAACAAAGTAGGTATAGATTTTGTAGCACTAAAATTTTTCTTTTAAATTTTTTTTAACACTGTGCTTCTGAATGACACAACATAAAACTGCCTGTTTCTAAGTAGAATGTTTGAGACCTAGCTTTCTCATATTTTCAGATACATGCAGCAGTCTTTGTGAAAAAAATGAAAAATTCTACACAAGAAACTGTCAGTGTTTTTTCTGGGTTATGTGGGAGACACTGGAGGATGAGTTTAGGCTTCGCAAGCAGCAGGTGAACAACCTCTAAAGGACTGAATTCTAGCAGCTTCAGCAATTTTCATTGTTATTCTAAAAGCACTTTTAGCAACTCAGTTTCCATACTTCAAAACCTCTTATTTGATCTAGGGATTGTCTTGAAGTGATTCTGAGCCTTACAAGACTTTCTGGTTTGCCAGGTGTGTCTTGGGAACTAAGTTATAGTAAGGCTCTCAAAAGTATAACCCCCCAAAATCTCACATAACAACAATTCAAAGCCTAGGTGTCATCATTTCAAAATTCATGCCAGATAAAATGGAAAGTTCTGCTACAGGAAATCTAGGATGTACAATGTGTGTGTGTGTGTGTGTGTGTGTGTGTGTGTGTGTGTGTGTGTGTGTTTCATGTGCATGCTAAGGTTTGCATGTGGAGATCAGAGGACAACTTGAGGAATTCTGTTCTTTCTTCCTACTTCACAGAGAGAACGTTTATCTACTGAGTCATTTCACAGGCCCTGAATTCTAATTTTCCTCAATCCTTCCTCCCTTCTTTCCTTCTCTCTCTTTCTTTCATCTTTTTCTCTTTTTTTGCTTTGTTGGCTTTTTGAGACAGGGTGTTTTTTCTGTGTAGTCCAGGCTGTGCTGGACTCCTTTTGTAGACCAGGGTGGCCTCAAACTCACAGAGATCTGCCTGCCTCTGCTTGCTGAGTGCTTGGATTAAATGTGAGCACTACCAGTGCTTGGCAAGCCCACATAGAGTCACAGAATCTTATTTAATTTTCTGGAGGTGCCAAGAGCAGAATCCATTGGGTTGGAGAATTGACTTCAAAATTTCTTCCCACACCAAAGAAGAAGATAGGAACGATAGGAAATGTCTTTTAAAGTTTAAAAGACGAGGATTAGGAAGTGATCATGTGAGCTGCGCAGTGGTGATGCACACCATTAATCCCAGCACTTGAGGTAGAGGCAAGGTGCATCTCTAGGTTCGAGACCAGCCTAGCACCAGCTAGAGGCCACCTAAGACTGGAGCGCGTTCCAGGCCATCCTGGGCTACACATTGTCTTGAAAAGAAGCTAATTGATTAATTAAAAAGATGTATTTAAGAAAGGGCAAATGATGGTGTAAAGAGTATTTTGGCAAGTGTTTTTCTCCTGTAAATTAAAAAATAAATGTATATAATCATAGGACTCTATGGCAGGAGTGTCCAAGGAACAAAAAATTGTGTTTAAAGCAAACATGGTTGCTGTCAGCCAGTGACTTACATAAGCCAATTTAATACCTGTTTTCTGTTAAAACCTGAAAGATGTATGAAGTCGAGTGTTTTTAAAAACGGGTGCCTTTCCTGTTTATTCATAGGGAGATCTCACAATTTCTTTATTTTGTTAAATTTTTATTTTTATATTAATTACCATTTATTCAGTTTGTATGCCAACTGTAGCCCCCTTCCTCATTCCCTCCCTCCTCAGCTTCTCCCCTGCCCCTCTCCAAGTGCACTGGTAATGGAGATCCTCCTCCCCTTCCATCTGACCCTAGCTTATCAGGTCTCATCAGGACTGGCTGCTTTGTCCTCCTCTGTGGCCTGGTAAGGCTGCTCTGCAGTCAGGGGGAGGTGGTGAAAGAGCCAGCCACTAAAATCATGTCAGACCTAGTGCCTGTTCTCCTTACTAGGGCCCTCACTTGGATACTGAGCTGCCATGGGCCACTTCTGAGCAGGGCTTCTAGATTATCTCCATGAATGTTCCTTGGTTGGAGTATCAGCCTCAGAAAAGACCCCTGTGCCCTTCTGTTGCTCTCCTTGTGGAGCTCCTGTCCTCTCCAGGTCTCACTGTCTTCCCCTTCTTTCCCAAGATTCCCTGCACTCTGCCCAAAGTCTGCTTATCAGTCTCAGCATCTGTTTGGATACACTGCTGGGTAGAGTCTTTCAGAGGCCCTCTGGGGTAGGCTCCCGTCCCGTTTCCTGTTCTCCTTCTTCCCGTGTTCATCCCGCTTGTCTTTCTGAGTGAGGACTGACCATCTTACCCAGGGCCCTGCTTCTTGCTTAGCTTCTTGAGGTGTGCAGATGTTAGTGTGTTTATCCTATATCATGTGCCTAATACCCCCTTATAAGTGAGAATATACCGTGTGTGTCTTTCTGCTTCTGGGACACCTCACTCAGGATGATGATCCTTTCTAGATCCCACCATTTGCTTGCAAATGTCACGTTTTCCTTGTTTTTAACTGCTGAGTAACATTGCACCGTGTAAATGTACCACAATTTCTGCATCCATCACTCTGTCCAGGGACCTCTGGGTTGTTTCCCGGTTCTGGCTCTTATGAATGAAGCTGCTGGGACCATGGCTGAGCAAATGTCCCTGTTGTGTATTTGAGCATATTTTGGGTATATGCCTAGGAGTGGTCTAGCTGGATCTTGAGGAAGTGCTATTCCTGATTTTCTGAGAAAGCGCCACAGTGATTTCCAAAGTGGCTGTACAAGTTTACATTCCCAGCAGCAGTGAAGGAGGGTTCCCCTTTCTCCACATGCTCTCCAGCATGTGTTGTGCCTTGCGTTTTTTATCTTAACCATTCTGATGGGTGGAAGGTGAAATCTCAGGGTCATTTTGATTTGCATTTCCCTGATGACTAAGGACATTGAGCATTTCTTGAAGTGTCCCTCTGCCATTCTGTCTTCCTCTACAGAGAAGAGAATTGTCTGTTTAGCTCTGTACCCCACTTTCGGGATCGAATAGAAGACCCAGAGATAAACCCAAGTACCTCCCGAAAATTGATTTTTGGCAAAGAAGCCAAAAATCAAACTATGGGGGCGGGGGGGAGTCAGCATCTTAAACCAATGGTGCTGGTCTACCTGAATGTCTACTTGTAGAAAAAGGCACATAGATCCACATTTATCACCCTGCACAGAACTAAAACCCAGATGGATCAAAGAGCCCAACATAAAACCAGACACACTAAATCGTTTAGGAGAAAAAATGGGGGAGAGCCTAGAACTCGCTGGCATAGGAGACAACTTCCTGAACAGCACAGCAACAGCACAGGCTCTAAGCTCAACAATCAATAAGTGGGACCTCATGAAACTGACAAGCTTCTGTAAAGCGAAGGACACTGTGGTCAGAACAGAAGGACAGCCTACAGACTGGGAAGGCATCTTCACCAACCCTACATCCGAGAGAGGGCTAATATCCAGACTATATAAAGAACTCAAGAAGTTCAAGAGCAGCAAATCGAGTAATCCATTTAAAAATTGGGGTACCGAGCTAAACAGAATTTCCATCTGCTTGTGCTCAGACAGGATTGCCAAGCAGAGTGGGAGAGCAGGGTGGCTGATGGTGTCATGTGAGTGTCCCCGCTGCACCTTTCCTCTTTCCCAAGGGCCCTCTTCCAGTCCAGGGCCAGGGCCTTTCAGCCCTTCCAGCCAGGCTGCTTGCGGTGGTGCACAGGCTAGCACCCATCAGTGGCTTGGTGGCCAGTAGGAAAGGCTCTGGGTGTGCACGTTTGTAGGCGCGGTTTACCCCCCGGGCAGCGCGCGTCATTCTCTTCTGGATGCTCTCAGAGGAGCTCATTTGGCCCTGGGAGTCTCGGGGGCTGTGCCCATTGGTTCCAGCCTCCGCCCCCTGAGTGACGCTACCCCGGGGTTCCCGTGCTCCTCCCTTTCTGCTGCTCCTCCTCCGCCTCTGCCTCCACCTGCTCCTTCTCTTCCTCCTCCAGCACCTCCTCCTGCTCCTGCAAGCTCCAGACGTCCTGCAGCGTTGTGGGTAAGCCTCCCCGCAGCTCCCCGCCGCAAGGCGAGGGCAGAGGCCGGGACTCTCGCCTGGGGCCTCCGGGGCCTGCCGCCAGCCCGCCCACCAGCCCGCCCGCCCGCCCGCTGAGAGTTAGGGACCTGGCGGCGCAGTGGCGCGCGGCCCACCATCTTGTCTCGGGCCACGGGGAGGGGAGGGTTTTCGGAAAGGTCGCCTGGGGGACACCTCCGTGGGCTAGAGGCGGGGGCCTCCCGTGCCTGGACCGTGCGTGGGTGGCAGCCTCGTGGGCCCGGCCTCGTGGGCCCGGCCACGTGGGCCCCTGGGTGTAACCTGGGCTCAAGATGAGCGCCCTCCCTACCTCTCTGGCTTTGCTGTGGGGAAAACAGCTCCCTCAGCTCTTTCCTGCATTGGAGAGCCAGGTGTCTTTCAGTCTTGGGGAAGGCTGATGGGGCTAGCTGACCTCCAGCCTCAGGCTCCTGCGGCCCTTTGGTTCTGGCCCAACCCCTTTTCTAGGCCTGCCAGCAGTTTTTCCCTGCTTGTACCCTCAATCTTCCCAAAAGGACTTCCACCTCTGTCACAGAAACCTTGCCCTCTTCCACTATTGTCTAGACTCTAGAGGATAAAAGCCCTGAGGGACAGAGAGGTGGACTGAGATGCACCAGTTTCCTTCATGGAGCTGTGCGCAGCGCTCTCTCTCTCTCTCTCTCTCTCTCTCTCTCTCTCTCTCTTTGTATTTGTTTTTGTTTAAGCGATGTGGAAAGCATCTCATTCGGAGGAGAACCTGCAGCAGGGATGGGAGTCCCTCTCAGTGTGCCTCATGTCTGAAGTCTTTTCAGGAAGGAGTCTCGGTGTGAACTGAACCAATTTCTTCCAAATGTGGGAGATCTTTATCCAAGGACCTGTCTTCTTGGGGAGGATTCGCTGATTGTTTTTGTTTGTTTGTTTCTTTCTTTGGGTTTTTTTGTTTGTTTGTTTTTTATTTTTTGTCTTGTTTTGTTGTTTTGGTTTTGTTTTTAATTCTGTGAGCTTACATTTTTGGCTCTGTTGTTTGGGGGCTAGATTATGACCTTTAGTGTCTTTTAGCATCGCTAAATCTTTATTTGATATTTAAAACCAGTTTTAAACTACAAAAGTCTCCTACGTAAATTTGTGAGGTGTCTTGCTTTGGGAGTTAGAGGGTAAATTCAAGCCATCTTAAGTAAAACACACACACACACACACACACATATACACACACACGAGCATATATATATTACCCAGTATATTTTTATATACACATACTTAATCTGTCAAGGCATTAATTTGGTTATGAATGTCATTTGGATATGTGTGCCTGTGTAAACGTTTGAATGTTTTGTGATGTCAAACCTTTACAGGGTTGTAAAGTAGTAGAGAACTGTTTAAAAGGTGAAGAAATAGCTTCTCAAGAGGTTATGTATTCAGTAAAGAGAACCAGTTGTGATTTTTCTACCCTTTTTAAAAGATTGTGTGTGTGTGTGTGTGTGTGTGTGTGTGTGTGTGTGTGTGTGTTGGTATGTAGTTGTGTGCATGCCAGAGTTTGAAGGTCAGATGACAACTTGGTAAGTTCTCTCTGCAGATTCTGAGGGTGGATCTCTGCTCATCAGTTTTGGGAGCAGCCCCATTTCCTTCTGAGCCAGTCTCACATATGCCCCACTGGTCTTTTGGTTTGGTTTCATTAGGTTTGGTTTCGGTTTTCTTTTCTTTTTCTTTTTCTCTTTTTTCAGGGGTGGGGGTGAAGAGGGTAAGGTCTCATATAGCCCAGGCTGGCCTTGAATATGATATATAAAACTGAGGCTATCAATGAACTCCTGACCCTACTGGCTCAGTTTCTGAACACAGGAATAACAGAAAAGAGCCATCCATCATGCCTGTCCCCTTAGAACCAGTTTTTCAACCAATGCCTTCTGACATTCACCTAAGGTTCGGTTCATTAAATAATGCCTCATTTTTTTATGAGAGTCTCAAAGTGCCACAGAAAGATAAGCAAGGAGATTCACCTAAAGTTTTCAAGGTTTTTTTGGTTGTTGATGTTGTTTTGTTTTTTTTTTTCCAAACAGGTTTCTCTGTGTAGCCTTGGATGTCTTGGAACTCACTCTGTAGACCGGGCTGACCTCAAACTCACAGAGATCTGTCTGTCTCTGCCTCACCGAGTATTGGGATTACAGGTGTGAACCACTATGCCTGGATATCTTTTTTACCTAAGGCCAGTTTGATCACTTTTGTAGGATTGCTGAGAGGTAGGTGGGCACATATAGAGTTTACTGAAATTTCTTAAGCTTGGTTAAAGTAATAACATTATAAAAGGTAAACGATCTACAATAGGAACATGAGTGAATCAGAAAAAGAAAGGCTCACTGGATAAGTGCTTGTTCGCTGCACTAGAATGAGACTCTTAATTCATATCCTCAGCACCCATGTTTAAAGCTCTAGCTGTGGCTGTGTTTCCATCTGCAGTCCCATCAGTTGACTTAGGGGCCAGGGAGAGGTGGATTGTTGGCTAAGTCGCAGCCAGGCTATCTCTACGTTCATTGAGGAAGACACCTGAGGTCTTTTGCTGGCTCTCATTAGCACACACACAAGTGTAAGGTAGAAATGAAATGTTAACTACTCATTCCCAAGATAACTATTATGTTAGTATACATAATCACAATTTTCAAAATGATTTCCAAATAAGATACTGTTATTATTTGTCCAATTACATAATAATAATAGCCAGGGATGTATCTCTATTGACAGAGAAATATTGAATTAAATAGAGTTGGGTGCTGGAGAGGTGGCTTAGCAGTTAAGAATACTTGCTGTCCTTCGAAACACTCAATTCAGGCAGTTCACTCCCATTTGTAACTCCAGCTTTAAGGGATCCAATGGTCTTTTTCTGGGCTCCGCAGGAACCGGCACTCATCTAACACACCCCTACACGTACACATCATTAATAATAGAAATAAATCTTTATACAGCTGAATAGTATCCCATAGTACATGTGTACCACATATTTTTTATTATCCATTTGTCATCTGAAAGACTTTTTGCCTGTTTCAGTTTCCTCATGGTTGTGAATGGAACATCAGTAAACCTGGCTGAGCAAGTATCTGGAGAAGGAGGTCAAGTCCTGTGGGCATATGCTAAATAGTGGTAGAGCTTGGTCATATGGTAGATGTATTTGCTTATCCAATAACAAGTGATTAGTCCTGAAAACATACATACAAGTAACAGTAATTATTTATATATGTATGTATTCTTAAATACAGAAATACAACCTGCTTAGCCTTTCCAATTTATGTACGTGTAATGTACATATAGTGTATGCATATGTAACAATAAAATGAGGCCACAAGATTGATAGAGAGCAAGGAAGATATATAGGATGGTTTAGAGGGAAATGGAGTAAGTATAATCTCAAAAAATATTTTTTAAAAAATATTAGGAGACAGAAACTGGCCCCAAAATAAAGCTGATAGTAAACTGTAATAAGAAGTAGAAGAAAACCCATTGAGTATGAAAATGTGAAACTCTGAATTATGCTTTATTAGCTTAACTTAGAAAAGTCCTGCCTAACATTTGGGGTTGTAGATTAAATATGAAGGGAATACATTCATAATACTGCTTACATTTGGGAAGGTGAGAAGTTATGTTTTTTTTTTAATTCTTTATTAATTACATTTTATTCACTTTGTATCCCCCCTGTGGTTCTCTCCCTCCTCCCATCCCAATCCCTCTCTTCCTCCACCCTCTGCATGCATACCCCTCCCCAAGTCCAATGATAGGGGAGGTCTTCTTTTCCTTCCTGCTGATCCTAGTCAATTAGGTGAGAAGTTATGTTTTAGGGGCATAGGAGAACTACTAAACATTCAAAGCTATTATGATAAGAGATAATTTTGTTAGCTCCAAGCTCAAAGGAGCCTGGCCTATCAGAGAACTGAAAGGCGACTGTGACTAGATGTTGAACTTCTTTACAGTAATGTCTACAGGCAGCAGGGCACAGATGTGAGTACTTGGGAGGTAGAGGTAGGTGGATCTCTGTGAGCTCGAGGCCAGTCTGGACTACAAAGGGAGTCCAGGAAAGCCAGGTTTACACAGAAACCCTGTCTCAAAAACAAAACAAAACAAAACAGAAACATGTCTACAGGCTTCATATAGCTCTGTGGCACTTTTTATACTGGGAATTGTTGATCAAAAAATAATACTAATGATAATAATCTTGTGGCTCAGAGTGTGACAGTTACAGAACACTTATTTCTAGCATGAATGATGCTTTGTATTCAGTCCCCAGACTTGAGAAAAATTTTGGAAAATTGCACCAGATTGTTAGGGATTTCTTTTGCATACCGTCCCCAACTTACTGTTTTCATGTATTGCCATTTAAGTCCATTCTAAAGTATGATCCTAATTTTTGGTTAAAGGCGGATATGGTGTTATTTTATTTCGAAATGACTGTATCATTAGCATTGTTTGTATGTGTGTATATATGTGCGTGTGTGTGCTGAGACAGCATCTCTTTGTGTAGCTGTGGGTTTTCCTGGAACTCGCTGTGTAGACCAGGCTGGGATTAAAAGTGCGGGCTGCCACCACCTCGCTCAGATAAAAGAAGTATATTTTAAATACAAATATTGAGAGCTATTTCAGTTGGAAATGTTTTTGGAAATGTAAATAACTTGAACGTTAGGAGTAACTTTTCCAGTTAAATAGTTAAATAAATGGACAGGTGCAGTGTTGCGTGCCTTTAATTCCAGCACTTGGGAGACAGAGGCAAGTGGATTTCTGAGTTTGAGGCCAGTCTGAACTACATAGCAAGCTCAAAGGCAGCCGGGACTGCTTGGTGAGGCCCTGTTCCTTGAGTGCATATAAATATTTTCCTGGATGTGTATCTGTGTGCTCCATGTGTGCCTGGTGCCAGTGGAGGCCAGAAGAGGGTATCAGACCCCTTTGAGCTGGTGTTACAGATGATTTTGAGCTGCCATGTGGACACTAGGAATAAAACCTGGGTCCTCTGGAAGAGAAAACATCTATGATAACTGCTGACCCATCCCACCCCAACATATATTAAGCTCATTTTAGAAGATCTTTCGGTAAAGAAGGAGCAATTAAGCCATGGCCACTGTTTTAGGTATTAAGGCATGATTGTATGTACATGTTGTATTTCAGTATTCAAGTGAATTATTCTGCTGCCCCAAACTCTAGGAATGGAATATTTTGGGTAATTTGTTTGGTTGTTTTTGTTTCTGTTTCTGTTTCTCAAGATAGGGATTCTTTGGTGGCCCTGGCTGGTCTGGAACTTGATCTGGAGACCAGGCTGGCCTCAAACATAGAGATCTGCCTGCCACTGCCTCCCAAGTCCTGGAATTAAAGGCATGTGCCACTATGACTGGCTGTTTTAGGTAATTTCAATAGCTGTCTCTAGACTTCTTTTCTAAGAAAATATTTTATACATACATGTGAGTGCCTGTGTGTATGTATGTATATCATATAAGTGCCCTGTACCCACAAAAGCCAGAAAAGGGTATTGGATGCCTGGAACTGGAGCTGTATTTAGCTGTAAGCCCCTGTGTGGGTTCTGAGAACCGAACCCAAGTCCCCAGCAAGAGCAACAAGTACACTTAACCTCTGAGAGAGACATCATCTCTCCAGCCTCTGCCTCTTTAACTTTTTAATAAACTCATCAGAAAATTGAGTGAGAAAAGCAGGCATGGTGGCATATGGCTGATAGTAAAACTTAGGACAATGAGGCAGGAAGATGTAGAGACCGGTCTGTCTTACATAGTTACTCCCAGGCTCTCCAGGGCTATCTTGGGAAACCTTGTTTTATTCCCCCTCCTTCAATAAAAACGACAGCTTAGTAAAAAAGTGAAATTCTCACAACCTAATCATCTCTCAACTGGAAAGCATGAGACAAGCAAGCAAAATCTTTGTGTTCTCTTTGTAAAAGTCATGTGCATAAAAAAGGATTAGAAACAAGGAAACACTGTATGTTTTGATTTTTGTTTTCTGTATATAGTGTAGTCAGTCATGACCATATTTACACAGAGTTGATACCTATTCCTTATTTCCACTGAATATTGTATTGAGAATATAATTGTTTGTCAGTCATTGTATATTCCTCAAAAGTAGGATTATCCATAATAATCATACTATTTAACTAATTATTTGACTGTTCCTCTGTTGTTGAACACACAGGTTTTTCATATTTTGTTATTATAAATATTCTGTTACCCATTTTCATTTTCTTAAAGCAAATTGTTAGAAAAGGAATGATTATGTCAAAGGATATGTATGGACTTTTGAAAGTCTTTCGTAGGTGCTGCTAAAATGTTTTTGCAGAGAACTTATACCGAAAATGAAACCTCTGCCTTGCTAATGTTATTACTGCTTCCTTTTAAAATTTTAACATTTCGGTTACAACTAATGCTAGTTTTCCAGGAAAATTACAAAAATAATCTTGAAGAATGCCAATATGCTTCCCAGCCAGTATGTGCTCATTTTAGCAGAGAAGAGTAATTGCACTTGTCTTTGTAGTACTCGCATACAGTTCGGTTTACTTTTAGAATAACTGACGAACAAAATTACTTTAACATCTTACAGAACTTTTCAAAGACTTCATCACAAGATGATTCAGGTGCTTCTTCCGACTCACCGCTAGACTCAACCAACTGTACACCATCCTCCAGCATACCGAAAAAGAGTACAGGTTTGATTTTGGCATTTCTTCTTAAAATCTATAAAAGAGACTTCAGTAATGAACATAGAGCGTTTCTGTATGGGGGCCTGAAGATGGCTCAGTAGGTACAGGTGCTTGCAGACAAACTGATAACCTAAGTTGGATCCCGGAACCTACATAGTCAAAGTAGAGAATTGACTCTATGCCATGCACAGAGGCACATTGAATAACTGACCTAATACAGATTTTAAAAGCCAGCAAGATGGTTCAACAAGTAAAGGTGACTGTCACCAAGTCTGAAGATCTGGGTGTGATCTTTGACCACACATGGTAGGAGGAGCCAACTGACTGGCAGGTGGTCCTCTGACCTCCACAGGTGCACCATGGTATGCATGTGCCCACAAGCGTACATGCATGTATGTTGAAAATTCTTTCCTGCAACCAGTGCCTTCGTGTCGTATTTTACATACATTAAAAGATGGAAATGGAGCTAGTCGTTAAGTCTTGAGCTTATTCTCAGTTTCTTCTTCTTCTTCTCCTCCTCCTCCTCCTTCTTCTTCCCCCTCCTCCTTCTCTTCCTCCTTCTCATTTTTCTGAGACAAGGTTTCTCTGTGTAACCCTGGCTGACCTGGAACTCACTCTGTAGACCAGACTGGACTTGAGTTCAGAGATTTACCTGCCTGCCTCTGCCTCCAAAGCGCTGGAATTAAAGACTGTACTACCACACCTGGCTGAGCTTATCTGTAAGCTAAGAAATCTTAATATAATATCTGTGAGTCAGAGAAGTCACCCGATTCTTAAATACTCTCTAAAAATGCATTTGTTATTTGGAGTCTATTAATTTATAAAAATCGCATGACTTTAGTTTATTTCTTTATAAATTTTATAATTAATGACATGTGAGAGTTAAATGTGAAAATAATAGAGTGGTATTGTAAAATGACAGGACTAAAGAGATGTTTTGCCCATGATCAGTACCTAATACATTCCCATTGAAGGAACAGAAATTGGACAAGTGAAATAAAATTTGATTTTTTTTAAAGTTTTTTTTCTACCATGACAAAATTCTTCATGATTGTGGAGTAAGACAGTGTAAAAATGCTACCTAAACCAGGTGCAATGGTTCATGGATATAATCAAAGCACTCAGGGAGGCAGAGGCAAGCAGATCTCTGTGAGTTTGAGGCCAGCCTGGTTTACAAAGCAGGTCCAGGACAGCCAGGGATGTTACACAGAGAAACTCTGTCTTGAAAATCAAAAAAGAAAAAAAATGTTATGTAGATAAAAAAGATATTACTTATAGAGGAATAAACTAATTTATTAGCAAATTTGATATATTTCACTAGAAAGGTGTTCTTCATCACTGAACTATCTCCATAGCCTGGAAATAGGGGATCTGACACCCTCACACAGACAAACATGCAAGGAAAACACTAATGCTTAATAAATAAATAAGCAGAAATGAATGAATAACTTGAAGGATCTGAACTGGAAACTCTTTATCTCAGAGTAATTTTCTTTAATTTAGATGCCCCTGTGCCTCAAAAATTATATACTGGGAGGCTGTCAAGATAGTCAGCAGTTAAGAGCACTTGCTGCTGTTCTGGAGGACCCGAGCTTGGTTCCCTGTACCCATGTGACATCAGGCAGCTCACAGCCACCAGGAGCTCTAGCTCTGGGAGATCTGACGGCTGCAGACATGCATGTAGCATAGTCACAGAGGTGCACAAACACCAGCTCTAAGAGATCTGACACCTTCTTCTGGGCTTTGCGGGCATGCATGTGACATACATTCACAGAGATGTACAAACATACACGTACATAAATGGAATAAAAATAAATCTTTAAAAGGCTATGTATTAAAATAGTATGTTTTTATTATCTAGTGTGCTGTGTAATATCACCTAGTGCAATATCCCAACATTTATTGATTATTCAAGTGACACAGGCATCTAAAAGAAGTAAGCATGAAAGTAACAAAACCAAATTCAGTTTCAAGTGCTGGCAGTAATCATTCAGTAACCATATCCTCTAATGATAGGGAAAAAATTGTGTCATCTCAAAGAATGAACACTATAAATTTGACAGGGTAGCCTCCACTTTCCACATACACCTTTTTTTCTACTGTGAATTTACACTTCAGTGCATTAAACTATGTGTGGTTTTAGGGTCTTTGTCACAAAGTAGAGTTTATATTGGATTATTTTTATAAAATCACTTTCTCTGTGTCTGTGCCTGTTCCTCGAACAGATGCCATGAAATTATATAATCTTTTGGATGCTAAGATGATAGCTTTCAAGCACAACTATTTCTTCCAAGGAAATCTTTATTCAAACCACAAAAGTAAGATGAAACATAAAAAGAAAGGCTCTGTCTGAAATGCCCATTATGTTTAATTAATCCTGGGGATAGTAGTTGGAAGGCCATTGTGGAAACTCTAGATTTTTTTTCATATGAATGAGTGAAGTATTTTGTTTCCACTTTCTACATAAGAAACAACCAAATAATTTAAACCATTTGTCAGGTTATTAGTTGGAGAAGACCAAAATCAATTTTCTTCAGATATCTCAAGATTTTAAAACGACCTGTAAAGAATTCTCCTGAATGTTAGAATGAATATTTTTGGTATCAATGTTTTTTTTAAGTTTGAATGTATTTAATCACCAAAACATAGATTCATTTGTAAGAACTTAGCTCAGAGAAAGTTAACCTTGCTTTCCCTTTTCTCTCTCTATCTTTTTGATTATACTATTGTTGCTTTGGGTTTTGTGGGGTTTATGCTTTTTTAACCTCAGCCTGCCTCCTTTAATGGACATTTGAAAATTTCTTTGTAATTTTCTTGCATAAAGTTTATTTTGTGAATATGAAAATACTTCCTTGTATAGTTTCTGCTCTTTGGTTATATAAATTTTTGTCGTTTAGGTTAGCTGCAAGGCATTTTTATTAAATTGTAAATCTAAGGCATTTCATAGCAGTTTTACATAAGTAATATTCTATGCTAAAGCATTTATAAATGTCTTTCCTGGTGTTCAAATCTTTGTAGGTATCAATCAAACTTCATTAGGATTAAAACATCCTTCCACTTCCGAGGTAAACAGTGTTTTTTTTGTTGTTGTTTTTTTGTTGTTGTTTTTGTTTTTTTTTACTTTTTTAAAAAGTAAAAGAGAGCACCTTTCGTTCAGGAGTGTATTTAAACCCCTTTGCAGTCATTGATGTAAAAATTTTAACTGGTAATATAGGTATAGGTATGTGGAGATAAGTGTATGTCTTTAAAACCATAAGCATGTACCAGTTTCAGAAATATCCACCTGTCCATTTTGCATTTTCTGAGCTAAACACGGCAGAAAAATCTATCTTCTAACAAATTTTTATCATGCAACTCAGTGTTGTCAGCTATAACCAGACTTTTACTGCTTTGTGGGTTCCTCTTTCTTCCACCCTTCTCCACCCTTTCAATCTGCTAACAATAGATATCAGAGAAAAAAACAAGAGAGCAGACAATGTTATCTTTAGAATACTTCCTGCTGATTAGGGCCATCTAGCTCCTTGGGGCAAGTTTGCTCTTCACTATCAGGATATCTAATTCCTTCTTCTTGTTTTTTATTCTTTGCAAACAACTGCTTAACCAACAGCAACCAACAAACAACCAATAATCCACACAACAAGCAACTCCTTTCTCGGGGCCCTAGCGTTTATACACCTTCTGAAAGTTCCTCAGAATTCCTAATGTCACACAGTCTCAGAATCTATCTACATCTGGCAAAATCAAGCCCATGCTACAGCATGAGGCAAATCATAGTCAGCTGCTTCAAAGCAGCCCCATATCCCTACATCTAGAATTAAAACTCAATGTATTCTTAAAATATTTCTGTGTTCGTTAAAGAAACTATAATTTCGAAATTCTCACTGTAGTCAGCTATGCTTCCTAATGCTGTACATTAGATCTTTAGAGCCTATTTATCTTGTATAACTAAATCTATATATTCATTGAGTAATGCTACCCCTTGTGCCACTTCCCCAAATAGTGGCATTCAGCATTCAACTCTCTGCGTTATTTACAGTGCTATGTATTTCTCATGTAAATGTAATCGTGAAATATTTATTTGTGCTGTTACTGACATATTATGCTTAATAGAATACCTTCCAAGTCTAGCCATGTCGTTGCAATAAGTAGAATTTCCTGCTTTCTTAAGGCTGAATAATATTCCAAACCGTCTACACATATTTTCTGTATCATTTTTATATTATTAGACTTAGATTAGTTTGATGTTGAGAGACCAAAAGATAAATTAGCAGCTATTATTAAGACCTGAAGTAGGTGGGTGGAGAAGTCTAGTAATGCCCTGAGGGGAAGGACCGCCTTACTGCATTCTTTCCCCACCCACTAGAGATAACAGTTGCTAGGAAACTGGCCCATCCCCCTAGGGAGGGACACCAGGTCATTATGGTCTGGGGACCTTCCTATAGCCAATCAATTAAAAATGTAGCATTTTGACCAATAGATGCTTGCCAGGCAGGAATTGCCCCTGCCTTGGGCATGCTGGGAGGGACCAGAATCTTTAAATCGCCCAACTAACCTGGGCACAGCGCGCTCAGCTCCCACTGCTTCTGCAGCCGGTGTTATGGGCCCAAGCTGCAGCTTGTAATTTACAATAAAAGGACCCTCATGTGTTTTGCAAGTCGATTCCTGTAGATCTTTTGGGGGCTTGCAAACTGGGTGTAACAATGTCTGGACTATGAATAATTCTACAGTAAACTTCAGCCTGCAGATTTGTCTTTGAAATAAAAAATTCAGTTGTTTTGAATATATACCTAGGGTGACATTGCTGAATCATAGTTTTTATATTGTTTTTAGGAATGTCTATATTTTTTTATACATGTTTATATTTCCACCAACAGTGTAAAAAAATTGCATCTCTCCAGTCACCTTTTTTCTTTCAGACAGAGCCATCCCAATGAACTGAAACCTCATTGTAGTTTTGATGATTAGTGATTTTGAGCACTATTTTTTATGTATCTGTTGTTCATTTTGTATGCCTTTTTAAAAGACTCATCTTTTCAGTTCCTTTGCCTTTATTTTCTAAATCTTTATTAGAAAATTTAGGTAATGGGAACTAATGAAATAGAAAGTATCACAATAAAACTAAAAATGAAATTTAGTAGAAATAACTGAATGTGTGGAAATGTGAAAAATACTTGTTTCTATAAGATTAAAAAAAAACAGCAGAGGAAATAGATGTGGAAATAGGGTTAAACAGCAGTTCCTACTAGAACATATCAGTTTATTAGTCAGAGTTCTCTAAAGAGCAAAACTGATATGAGAAAAATCTATATTTACTTTAATGTATATGATATATATATACACACTAAAAGGGGATGTCTTTTCTGTTTCCTTTCTTTTTTATTTTTTAAAATTTTTTTTATTATTAGTTACATTTTATTAACTCTGTATCCCAGCTGTATCCGCTCCCTCATTCCCTCCCAAGCCCTCCCTCCCTCCCTCATCTCCTCCCTGCCCCTTTCCAAGTCCACTGATTGGGGACAACCTCCTCCCCTTTCATCTGACCCTGTTTTATCAGGTATCTTCAGGACTGGCTGCAAAGTCCTCCTCTGTGGCCTAGAAGGACTGCTCTTCCCTTGGGGGGTGGGGAGGTCAAAGAGCCTGCCATTGAGTTCCTGTCAGAAATACTCCCTGTTCCCCTTACTATGGGAAACCAATTGGTTACTGAGCTACCATGGGCTTCATCCAAGCAGAGGTTCTAGGTTATATCTCTACATGGTAAAAGGGGATGTTTTAAAGTGTCTCAGACTGTGGTCTGAGTAGCTGTCTCCTGAGGAAAAGGTCAAAGATCCAGTAGTTGTTCAGTCTACTACATGAAAGTCTTAGCTGTCCCAGTCTGGTGCTGGAGTCCCAAGTCTAGAGAGCTACCAGCTTGCAGCCAGCATTGGAATCCCAAAGAACTGGCTTCTCACACCAGCAAAGGAATAGATCAGGAACAGGATAGATGAACTTGCCAGTGAGAGTTAGGGTAAGCAGGCAAAAAGTCAAAAGCTTCTATGTTCTTTATGTGGCCTGCCACCAGATGTAACTGAGATTTAGGGTGAGTCTTCCACCTCAAGTAATTAAAAAAGAAAAATCTCTCATGCCTGTGCATAGCTGCTTGAGTTTTACTTAATTTCAGATGTAGTCAAGTTGACAACCAAGATTAGCGTTCACAGTCACAAGTGTCAAATTCTTTCATAATTTGGCCAGATGCTAATCCAATCAATCTGACTTTAGATTTTGGGAACAGCACAGATAGCATTTACTGAGATTTAATTATATGGTAATTCTCTTCTGAAAGTATATTTTCCCTTTTATGCATTAAGCCCCTTTTTATTTTCCTACCCTCTGTGCCTAGTTTGTTACTGTTGTTATTATGAGAATTATAAGAATTCTCAATTTGGTTTCTAATTGTCATTTATTCAATAATTATAAGAATTCTGTGATTTTACAATCATTTCTTTCATTTTATTTTTGTTCTGGTTACTATTTTGAAGATTTATTTATTTAACTTTGTTTGGCTGCTTTGTTTGCATGTATGTCTGTGCACCACTTGAATGTCTGGTGTTTCTGGAGGCTAGAAGATCATTGGCTCCCCTGGGACTACACTTACAAACAGTTGTGGTGATGTGGGTGCTTGAAATTGAACCCTGAGTTCTGTGGAAGTGTGGTTAGTGCTCTTAACTGCTGAACCACCTCCCCAGTCTGCTCCAGTTCTCCTAGAAAAATCCTACCACTGAAAAGTATATATAATAAAAAATTAATTTATTCAATGAAAAGGCTTATGTGTGGAAACCATTCTACTTAGAATCAGTTTAAATGAGATTTTGATTTTATTTGCGATAAATATTCCCCCATGAACTATTTAAGTATTATTATAGATAGAATGCATTTAGATTTTGAGAATGTAACTGATGACTTTTGGGGGGCCACAAATATTCTAGTACTTTGTGTTAGGGGAATGACATATCAACTATGCTCAAAGTCTAGTTCCAACTATGCTTTATTAAAATTTATAAGAGGTAAAAATAAAACATACTATTTCTCCTCTTTCAGCTTCGCTGCCCAGACATGATAAATCACTTTTTGGAAACTCTTCAGTCAGATGATTCAAAGGATGAAAACAAAGCTAACATTGGCTCAGACGAAGGCAAATTGATCATGCTGGTTAGTGACTTTTATTATGGAAGTCATGAAGGAGCTGTTGCAGAACACCCGAAGACTCACAGAACTTTTAAATGCTTCAGGTGCTCAAAAGTTTTTAAGAATAATATTAGGTATGTAAATATTTATTATTTGTTTGAAAATTAACAAATAGTAATTTGTATCTTGATCTTTTATTAGAAATCTTGGTGGTTTTTCTGTTGTTGTTGATTTTGTTTTTGTTTTTACTCTCCTGGGTAAATTATTGTAATACATTACTAAGAAAGGTTACTTGTTATGCTGAATATTTTTATATTCCTCTTGTATTTCCATAGTTTGAAATCTGGATCTATCCAGTCATATTTTAAGAATGGGACTTCATGAACCCATTCCATACACATGCTGAGGGTTTGACTGTCTTGCTCTTGTGCAGGCCTTATGCATACAGTCACAATTGCTGTGAGTTCATGTGTGTAACAGTGCTATTTTCCCAACATTTTATAGGAAAAATATTATCTCTTCAACAATGGTTTGAGAAAACGTTTACCATGAACGTCTGTTTACCAATTTCATGCTACCACTCCTTTGGTTTTCGTAGGAGTCTATAATTTGCTTTGAAAAGTATCCAAAACATCACTTGGTTCTATGGGTGAATACAGGTGTGGTAAATCAAGTACCTGTTAACCTCTGATCTGAAATGCTCCAAAATCCAAAAGTTTTTGAGCATCTCATTACTCCACAATTGCACTTAAGTACATATGACATGTTTTACTGGCTAGTTTTATGTTAACTTGACACATGCTGACATCATCAGAGAGGAGGGTATCTCAATTAAGAAAATGTCTCCGTTAGTTTGTACTGGGACAAACCTGTTGGGCATTTTCTTGGTGATTCATGAAGGAGAGTGCAGTCCACTCTTGGTAGGGCCAACCCTGGGCTAGTGCTAGGTTGATTTTGGTCAAGGTATTTTGTCACAACAATAGAAACCCTGACAAAGAGACACGTTAATGTAAAATGCAGGTATATCAGAAGTATCATGCAACACTCCCTTTAAGCTATATGTAATAACATAAGTCAACTTACTTGATTTATACCTGTCTCCAAAACAAAGTAGATATGGTTCAATGTATTTATTACCAACAGTAGCTCATAGTTTTTTTTTTTTTTTTTTTTTTTTTATAAAGAACAGTATTTTATAGCCTGTAACCCCAGCGCTCAGCAGGTGGAGTGCTAATATTAAAATTGCTTTTTTGCTCTTTTTTTTTTCTTACCTCATACCTTAGCCTCCATAGTTCTAATATTGAAGCTATGAGCCACCACATCCAGCAAAATATTTTGATTGATTGAGTTATTTTACTTTGACATTCAGTCTGGTAAAGGCTTCAAAACAGGCACACCCATTTATCATAAGCTCTACCATGAACTTATTTCTTTTCATTTTTGTGGGATTTGTTTTGTTTTGTGTATGTTGTTTTTGTTTGTTTCTTTCTTTGTTTTTTCTACACAGGGTTTCTCTGTGCAGCCTTGGCTGTCCTGGAACTCACTCTATATACGAGGCTGGCCTTGAACTAACAAGAGATCTTTCTGCCTCTGCCTCCCTCAGTGCTAGGATCAGAGACTTGCATCACTACACCTGGCTCAAAATTCCATCTTATAAAAACCATTTTTGTGAAGCTGAAGTAACAGGAAGTAAAACTGAGCAAACAGATGGTGTTACAAAGGGTAACACTGACAGATATCTGAAAAAAGCAATTGAAGGAAGAATTCTTTTGGCTCATTCCTTCAGAGTTTTGAATCCGTGATTAGCTGATGCTTGAAGCAAGGCAGAAGCATCATGGAGGATGGACATAGTGTAGAAAAATTGTTCACTTTCTGCTAGCCAAGAAGCACAGGAAATGGCCAGGGTAAAGGTACCTCCCAAGTGTTGAATTAAGTACAAAACTTTTGTTTGATGATAGAATCTGCTGTGTTTCCCAGAGAAGCTGTAATCTCAGAGCTCAAATTAATCCTGTATTCTTAGCCTCCTGGTAGTTAGTTCTACAGACACATGATAGATACCATGCCAAGCTAAAGTATTTTCTTTGTGAATTTTCTATTGTCACGCCAAAATACCATGACCAAGGCAACCAATAAAAGAAAGCATTTAATTTGGGGCTCACTATTATTGAGAGAGGTTAATAGCATCCATGACCATTAGTGGATAGTCAGGCATGGAGGAAGCAGTAGCTTACAGCTTACATGTTGAGACATCACAAAGCAGAGATGGGAAACTGAGACTAGCAGGGCCTTTTGAGGGCATTAAAGCCTAGGAGATAATATTTTAAATTGTAGTCATGAAACTATATTTTAAATTTTTAGGATCAGATAAGTATTTGTAAATGTTTTGTTGTTATAAATTTGCATTTTTGCACCTGTTTTACTATCATTTATAGATTCATGAACCACATGAAACACCACTTGAAACCTGAGAAACAGAAAAAAGAGACCTGGAAAAGCCGTTCTACATGTGAGCACTGCTACTGGCAGTATCCCCACCCTTTCCACCTCCAGTGCCACAAGAGAGCACACACTCCTAAATTTTACAGAATTTAACATGTGATTGTGAGGGAACCTTAATGATTCTGTTAGAAAGTCTATAGAGGGCTTTCAATTTTAAAATCAATGGCCTTAATTTATACTTAATTTAAAAACTTAACTTGTAGTTAGCACAGCCTGGGAACCGTGTAGCTTAAGTTGAAATCCCAGCATTGCTTCTTTTGTTTGTTGTTTTGTTTTTTCCAGGCATGGTTTCTCTGTGTAGGGTTGGCTGTCCTGGAACTCACTCTGTAAACCAGTCTGGCCTCAAGCTCACAGAGATCTGCCTGCCTCTGCCTCCCACAATGTTGGGACTACAGGCGTGTGCCACCATGCCCAGCTCCCGCATCATTTCTAAATGCAGCTGTGGGACCTTTGGTAGTTAATTAATCTTTCTTTGCTCCTGGTTTCTTATCTGAAAATGTGAATAAAAGTTGTAGCTCTTTCCACAGTGTTGTTGTGAGAATTAAGTAAGCTGAATAATATCTTTAGATCTTTGTTTTGTTTTGTTGTTTTGCAGTACTAGGGATTAACCCAGGGATGGAGAAATGTTAGTTAAGTAATCTACAAGCAAGCTACATCCCTCAGTTCCCCCAAACAGTATTAGCTTTGATAGTGATAAGATTGCTGGAACTACCTTCTTTTGTCCTGTTACTGTATTTGATGTTAGGATTCTATGAAATGAATCCTGTTTTCATAAGTGTGAAAAATGATTCGATATGTTTTCCCTTTCAGCTCTTTGCAAAATCTGTGAATTGTCACTTGAAACAGAGCATATCTTTTTACAACATATGAAGGACACTCATAAACCTGGTGAAATGCCCTATGTTTGCCAGGTATACACCTGTTTATTGTACACTTTGGTGTCTGTTCAATGTCTGCATTCCATGAAATAGTATTGTTTATTTTGCTTACCAAAGCACTTAAATAAAATTAGTATACTAAAATTGAGAAGCCTTTGTGTTTAGTGACTTTCCCCTTGGTTGAACTCATGCATTGTATGTGGGGGTAGTGGTCTGGATTTGGCCTTCCTGGCCATACTGTAATAGTCCTACTGGAGAAAGACAAACATGGGCTTATCATAGAGGGAAGAATGTAGATGTTTCAAAGAAATAGGAAATACTAGAGAACCTAACTGAATATACCTAATTATCTTATCTATTTGTCTATGTAAATCATATATATGCATGTATGTGTGCTGCTTTTGAGACAGGGTTTCTCTCTGTAACAGAGCCCTAGCTGTCCTAGAACTCAAACTCACAAAGATCTCCCTGCATCTGCCTCCAGAGTGCTGGGATTAAAGGTGTGTACCACCATTCTCCATGGCTATTGCCCGGCTTCTTTCTTTTTTTCATTTTTGTTATTAACTAAATATATTTTCACTAGTGTTTTAACTGAGTTTGGAGTCCTAGTATTAAGAAAGGGATAGGGGGCTGGAGAGATGGCTCAGAGGTTAAGAGCACTGGCTGCTCTTCCAGGGGTCCTGAGTTCAGTTCCCAGCAACCACATGGTGGCTCACAACCATCTGTAATGAGATCTAGTGCCCTCCTCTTGTATGTAGGCACATGCAGGCAGAATGCTGTATACATGAGGAATAATTAAATCTTAAAAAAAAGAATGAAAACAGAAAGGAATATGAAGATAAACTGTCTCTGGCATAGGCTTTAAAATCTGAAGAAGAAAATACTGTCTTATATAGTAGAAAAAAACAGAACAAGCCCTTGAAAATTTAAGTCAACATAAAGGAAAGGAGAAATAAAACCTGGCTGTGGTTTGAAATATTCCTAGTGCAGGATGTTTTTCTAAACATATCACTACTAATTTGATGTAAATTGTATGCAAGTTATAAAATTTTATGTTGAATTTAACTTTATATTTCTAGGTTTGCCAGTTTAGATCATCAATATTTTCTGATGTGGAAATTCACTTTAAATCATCCCATGAAAACACTGAGAACTTGCTATGTCCATTTTGCCTCAAAGTTGGTAGAATGGCAACCCCTTATGTGAATCATTGCATGAGACATCAGGTGAGATTTGGACTTTATTTCTTCATATGGCTTCATTGGAAAGATATACCTGCTGAGAACACTAATTAGATTTAATCCAGATGGAAAGCACAGTTGTTCAAAATGATGTGTTTACTTTACAATTTATGCTGACTTAGGAAACAAGGACATGTTTTTCCCCTGCTTGCGGATAATATTAAGGTCCATAACCAGTGAACTTTTTGGAAGATATCACTAGAAATAGGTACCATAGAATAGAGGGAAAGGGGGTAAATGAGTGGGATGTATAAGCTGCATATTTTGGCATCCAAGATTGGTTGGAATTGTGATCTTGAAGGTAATTTTGAAGAGCAGAGGAAAGCATTTGAACTGACTAGACTTAAGAACTTTTTGCTTTTCTTTCCTTTCAAACATCCTTTTCACTTCCTAGTCTGTTGCTGTTAGAAGACAAGTATTTGTCATCATTACCCAAGTTTCTCGTGGTAGCTACCAAAAGAGGAAACAGCTGTGACTCTTATTACCAGATTTGTAAACTCTGTCAGGGAAGTGTATTTAAATTGTACCTTGCTTTTGGCATGAATCTTGCCAGTGCTTACACATTTCTCTTTAGTTCTGATTTTGTGTTCACCTATTTTTATTTCTGAAACCATTACCCTGGACTTTGGCTGAAAACTTTGATGAAACTGTCAGCATATTATTTGTGTGAAAAAGCATTGAACATGTTTTATTGAACATGTACTAAAATTTTGCCCCCTCACTGATTGGCACATCAATTGTGTTGTCATTGCCAGTATACTTAGCTCTACTGCCAGTTTGACTTTGATTTCAGTCATTAGCTAATCATGAAATTAACTTCCTGTTAACTGGGAAAAAATCTTTCACCATTCAAAAAAAAAAAAAAACTGAAAGAATCAATCAATCTATCTGTTTTCCTCTGTCCCTTCCCCCCCCCTTTTGACAAAAATTCACTATGTAGCCCTGGCTAGCCTGTGAAGAGTTTAAGTTAGCCTGGGTATAGTTAGCCTGAGTAAAGAGCCATCTTGACTGGGAGCTGATTTCAGGTACCAGGAAATATCACAGAATGTACACTTAGCAGAGAACAAAGTTAACTCTCCTAGCAACAGCCTCCAGGAAATAATACAGAATAAATGCTTCATAGAAAATAGAGACAATCTCCCTGGCAATAATCAATGAGTATCGGTTGGGAATCAGGTGGGAAAATTCCCCCAATGTTTCAGATATGGTTTAGAAAAATAGCCATTGTGATTATATGCCTTAGTCATTGTGATTGTGTACCTCAGAAAGGTCACCCCGCCCTGCTAAATTTCACCCAATTCTGTAACGACAAGGCTTGTGACCCCTGCTTGCTGCCATGGAAACCCCCTGCTCACAGACTTTCCCTTTAAAAATCCTGTTTACTCAGAGCTCAGGGTCCCACTTCTCTACTGCTACGGCAGAGAGACTTGGGTCCTGAGTTCGAATGCTCTTGTAATAAAGCTCTCTTGCTATTGCATCGAGTCGCCTCCTGGTGGTCTCTGAGGGTCCTGTGAACCTGGCATTACACCTGGAAGTCTGTGTAGACCTTGCTGACTTCAACTTCACTGAGATCCACCTGTGTGTCCTTCTGTGTCCCAGATACTAGAATTAAAGACATGCTCCACCACACCCAGAAACAAAATCTAGTAAAGGTTTCCTAAGGCAATTCTACTTTCAAATACTTTCTAATAAAAGAAATGACTGTACTTTCAAAATTAAGAATTACAATATTTTATTGAGACAGCATTTCTGTATTTTATCCTGGCTGTCCTCAAACGTACTCTGGAACCAGGCTGGCCTTGAACACAGAGATCCTCTTGATTGTGCCACCTGAATTCTGGGATTAAAGGCATGTGACAGCATGAATAGTCTATAATCTTTTACTTATGTTTATAAACAGAAAATAATAAACCATGTTTTTATTTATTAAACTTGGTTACATAAAGTTATTTTTTCTTTTTTGGTTTTTTTTTAGACAGTTTAACGTTTTTAGATATGAAAAATACTTTCATAAAGTTCTTAGTAGTAAAAGTAATTACCAACTACTTACCTTATTGATAACCAGTGATGCTTTTATGTCCATTATTTTAGCAGACATCCCATGAAGTGAGTATCTGATTATTTCCATTTTATACAAGGGAAAGCAAAGCTTTATAGAAAATAACTATACCAATATCACATTCTTCAACCAACAATGGCCCAAAATTGTTTCAGAGCTCCAACTTTTACCACTGCCAAAAAATCTACAATGATAGGTCAAAAGGCAGAAATTCTGCTTCTAGGATACCTCACTCAGGATGATCTTTTCTAGTTCCCACCATTGGCCTGCAAATTTCATGATTTCCTTGTTTTTTTATTGCTAAGTAGTATTGCATTGTGTAAATGTACCACAATTTCTGTATCCATTCTTCTATTGAGGGACATCTGGGTTGTTTCCAGATTCTGGATATTATGAATAGAGCTGCTATGAACATGGTTGAGCAAACATCCTTGTATAGTTGAGCATATTTTGACTGTATGCCTAGGGGTGATATAGTTGGATTTTAAGGTAGCACTATTCCCAATTTTCTGAGAAAGTGCCGGATTGATTTCCAAAGTGGTTGTACAAATTTACATTCCCACCAGCAATGGAGGAGGGTTCCCCTTTCTCCACATCTTCTCCAGCATGCATCATCCCTTGAGTTTTTTATCATAGCCATTCTGATAGGTGTGAGGTAAAATCTCCAGATCATTTTGATTGTATTTCCTGAATGACTAAAGACATTGAGCATTTCTTTAAGTGTTTATCTGGCCATTCGAAATTCCTCTGTTGAGAATTCTCTGTTTAGCTCTGTACCCCATTTTTAATTGGATTACTTGATTTGTTGCTGTTTAAATTCTTAAGTTCTTTGTATATTCTGGATATTATCCCTCTGTCACATATAGGGTTGGTGAAGATCTTTTCCCAGTCTGTAGGCTGTTCTCATGACAGTGTCCTTTGCTTTACAGATGCTTTCCAGTTTCATGAGGTCCTATTTATTGATTGTTGATCTTAGAGCCTCTGCTGTTGGTGTTCTGTTTAGGAAGTTGTCTCCTGTGCCAATGAGATCAAGAATCATACCATTTTTTCTTCTTATAGATTTAGTGTGTCTTTTTTTATGTTGAGGTCTTTCATCCACTTGGACTTTAACATTGTTCAGGGTGAAAAATATGGGCCTATTTGCATTTTTCTACATGCAGACATCAAGTTCCATCTGTCTTCTTTATATAAAGTTTGCTCTTGACTATGTGGTCTGGCAGATGGATAATTCACAATGAAATTATTCCTAAGCTTTCATATTTGGCATTTATTACATACATTTGTGACTATATCTGCTATTAGAACTACCTAAAGTAATATAGGGTAATGCTGTGAACATCTAGAGTGAGAGAAGCATTCAAGGGTGACTTCTTGAGATCCGTTTATCCCATGTTGAGACTAGAAATACAGAACATTAATGTGAACATTGCAAACCTCTCCTATTTTCCATTTGTAATACAGTGACATTAATAACATTTGTGTCTTTTTAATACTTCTAATTTATCCAGTCAGTGACCCAACAAGACAGGCAAGTGAGCTAGTATTATTCCTGTATTACAAAGAGACTTAGATGGAAAAGATTTCTTACTCAAAATCACAGGAATTGGGATGGAAAAATATATTCTTTAGATTCTCATATAATTTGCACTAACTTCTAACTATCCATTAATATGTGTTTGTGTATAATAAATACTGCCAATAGGAAACTATTTCAGCAGCAAATGAGCATAATATACCTGGTAAGACCATTCAAAATAAACAGGGAACTGGGCCAGTGGGTAAAAGTACTTGCCACCCAACAATGCTAGTCTCATTACTTGAGTTTTGATTACCGGAACTCATATAAAGATAAAAAGAGAGATTCAATTGCAGAGTGATTCTTTTTTTTAATATATATATATATATTTTATTTATTTATTATGTATACAATGTTCTATCTGCACATACACTTGCACGCCAGAAGAAGACACTGGATCTTATCCAGATATAGATGGTTGTGAGCCACCCTGTGGTTGCTGGGAATTGACCTCTGGAAGAGCAGCCAGCACTCCCAACCTCTGAGCCATCTCTCCAGCCCGCAGAGTAGTTCTTTAACCTCTACATGTACACCATATAATGCACACATGCGCACAGGCACACACAGGGATGCACACATGCACACTCGTGCGTGTGTGCGCACACACATGTACACGCAGAAACCTACAAAAAGTAGAATAAACGGAAAATACCTGATTCCATTTTATGTTTACTATTTTAAATAATGATATTTGTCTCTTTGAATTATACTGATTTTTTTTGTAACAGCTTTTTAGAATACAATTCACATACCAATTTTCCAGATGGATGGATGGATGGATGGATGGATGGATGGATGGATGGATCCTGGAAAAAAAAGTAAAGAGAGAGAGGAAAGGAAAGAAATGGAATGAAAAAAACAACCAGGTACCAGCAAGAATAAGTCTTCCGCTGAGAGCCCATTTCTCATAGCACCTTTTTACTCTGTTGCACTCTATTGGGGACAAGCTAGCTCTCATGTGTCTCTTTTTCTAAAGGACACAAATCCTACGTGTAAGGATTCTGCTTTTGGGACCTAGTTATTTCTCCAAAGGTTTCTCCTAATGCCACCACATTTATCAAGTGAGGGGGAGGTTAGGGATTAACATATTAATTGGTGGGTACTCTTCTCAGACCATACCAGTGATCAATATATCTCTTTATTTATGTCATTAACTTCTATTCAAAATTAATAAATTAAGCATGGACTTGAAAACATGCTCATAAAGTTAATGTGACTTATTAGATATAAAAGTAATAGAGACTTGTTTTTCTTTTATCTATCAGCTCTCATAATGACCAACCAAGTAAACAGTTTTATATTTCTAAGAAGCATTCCCAAGCCCTCAGGTAATTGATATGTTTCTGTTCTTTGTATTAAAAGTCATAATTAAACTTTTAACCAGGTGTTGGTTTACCTAATATGAAATTGAAATGATTGCCACTGGACATGATAGAGTTATGTTTGTTATAGTCATAGAACAAAGGAAAGGATAGCCTATCATATGACTAGCCTCTGTTACAGTGGTGCCAGATACTGAGTTGAAACTTTCATGCATTTACAATGTAAGATGGAAAAAGGTCCCAGCACTGGGGGAGGCAGAGGCAGGTGGATCACTGTGAGTTCAAGGCCAGCCTGTTCTACAAAGTCAGTCCAGGAGAGCCACGGCATGTTACACAGAGAAACCCCTTCTTGAAAAACAAAACAAAAAAAAGGTCCATGAAGAAGAAAGCATGAATGAAATATGGAGCAACAATTTTGCGCTTAGATACAGATTTTTTTAGTCCAAAAAAACAATTGTAAGTAATTAAGAATTGATTTTACTTTGCAAGACATTGAGAAAATCATAGATGCTTTGGGTGGAATCAAGGGTATGGAAGGAAGATCAGTTTGAAGAAGTATACATGGTGAGCTGTAGCTTCATAAACCACAAAGTAGTTAAGGCTGTTATTTAGTAATGAATTGGCTGGGGGCTAGAGAAAATGGTGATGTGGTTAAGAGCACTTGTTACTCTTACAAAGAATCTAAGATCAGTTTCTAGTACTTCTACATGGTGACATGCAACCATCCATAATTTCAGTTTCAGGGGAACCTGATGTTCCAACTTCCATGGGCACCAACCAAAACATTCAGACACAGGAAATAATATAATAAATCTTTTTTTGTTTGTTTGATTTGTGAGACAGGGTTTCTCTGTGTAACGCTGGCAATCGTTGTTGGTTTGTTGGTTTGTTTGCTTGTTTTTGTATTTTTTTTTTTAAAGCAAAAAGAAAGAACAGAGGGACTTGGGAGACATCTTACTAGTTAAGAGCACTGGCTGCTCTTCCAAAGGGCCTGACTTCAATTCCCAGCATCCCAGTGGCAACTCACACTTGTTGTGACTCCAATTCTGGGGGATTTGACACCTCCACACAAACATACACGCAGGGAAAACACCAATGAACAGAAAATAGAATAAATATTTTAAAAAGAAGCTCATTTATTAAAAAATAAAAACCTTACAACAAATCTTATGGGATACTTGAAAGAAAGAACAGAAAATGGACTCTGGAATCAAAGGGCCAAGTTTCAAACATGGGGCTGGCCTTAGATAAGTTATTAAATCTGGCCCTATCCCCTTTAGAAAGTTAGAACACCTGTCTTTTAGGGGTCATTTAGGTCATTCGTTTAGAAGAGGTAGGTCTTCCAAAACCCCAGCTTAGCACAGTGTAAATGATATTTTAAATTATTAAATATTGAAATATTTGAAATGTTTTTATTTGAACCTCATTCACAAGAAAGTGTCATCATAAGAAAAACCAGGAATAGAGGGTGGTTTTGGGGAGCAAATGTGATTTGGGTTGTTCAAGAACACTTCCTTATGTGTATAGCACCTAGTCTTAAATGTAAAACAGGATGTTAAGACCAGACCAGCATAAGGCATACTACTGGATTTTAGATCTATAAAGTTGAGTTGTTTTATAGGATGAGGTGATGGTGGGAATGGTGGCTCACACCTACAACTCCAGCACTAATGAAGGAAGCAGGGATCTCCTGCATTCAAGGCACCACTGGGCTAGTAGTAAGACCCTGTTTCAAAGCAAACAAAACACAAGTAAAATATCAAGTATGTATATGCTTCGTTAATAAAGTAACTTTATTCTGACTTACATACATTAGATTATATGATTCATAAACTCTACCTTTTTGTGTGCTGTGTGCTGTTGTATCCAAAATATCTAGGAATTTGGTGTATATTTAAACCATATCCTATGGTTTATTTTTAGTTTTTTAAAGATATATTGAAAGTTTTTATCAGACCTCTTGGCTATTTATATTGCTTATTTAGAGGTCTTTTGCTCAGTTTCTGTGAAAAAACAGTTCTGTGTTTATTCAGGTATATCTGTAATAATATGAAGCCATGCAAGAAACAAACAAGGTCTTCAACCAAAATATTAGAGTGAATATTATCTTCTTGCTTGGCAGATAAGCCAAGGCATGGAATCACTGTGACTTTGTACAAGTTATACCAGTATCTAGTTGAGCCACAACTGCTTTGAGTCTCTGGATGAAAAACTTTTAGCAACCAATTGAGAGAATACAATTTATAAAGCACTAAATGATAGCATAAATTAGCTGTGGGTAGGCCATTTTCTTGAGAATTCTTTTTTTCCCCCTCAGGACCAATGATCAAATCTAGGGTCTTACACATGCAAAGCCAATACTGCCTAGAACCCCAATCTTTTGAGAAAAATTACATTTATTTATAATAAAATTTGAAAATGACAGTGACAGCACATGACATAAAAATCAAGAGTTATTACATGGAACAGTTACTAAAGTTACGTATGGATTTCCACATATGGTCCTCTGTCTTGTAATTAGTCTTTTCTCTTTCCATAGGGGCATCACTCTAGTGTGCCTTAAATGTGACTTCCTAGCTGGTACTTCTGGCTTAGACCGTATGGCTAAACACTTAAGTCAACGTAAAACTCATACTTGCCAAGTTGTAATAGAGAACGGTATGTACAAGTATCTGTTACTATGAATTTATGATATTTGGCCAGTAGTTTTGATCTGTCAGTGTGAGCTCTTAAAAATTAAATTGATTACTCAGTCTTCATGTATTTGTAAACACAAAGCCTTCTCTGATTTCAGTTACTGAAAGAACCAACCTTAACTCCTGAATCCACTTCTGTGTAAGTCTAAATTTCATTTACAATTTACTTTGATAAATTTTAGTACTCTTGAAATTTTTAAATGAAATTATTAAATTCTTTAATAGAATTTAAAAATATTAATGGCAGCTCAGTCTCCAAGTGGGTTTTCCAGTAAGGGAAACAAGGACTTCTCTGATATAATCTCAATGGCTGTCTCTTTGATCACCTCCCCCTGAAGGGAGAGCAGACTTACCAGGCCACAGAAGAAGACAATACAGCCAGTCCTGGTGAGACCAGATAGGCTAGGGTCAGGTGGAAGGGGAGGAGAACCTCCCTTATCAGTGGACTTGGAGAGGGGCATGGAGGAGATGAGGGAGGGAATATGGGGTTGGGAAGGAATGAAGGAGGGAGCTACAGCTGGGATACAAAGTGAATAAAATGTAATTACTAAAAAAAATTTTTAAATAAAATAAATGAAAAAATATTGAAGTTTTGTTTTGTTTTGTTTTAAAGCGGCTTGTTGAAATAGATTCCTGCTCTGTGGAGCTCGTGCAACCTGGTGCAAGACAAGTTGGAATTTCCTAAGCTGAAAGTTCTGCAGTGTTTGCGTTCACAAATCCAGTTCCCTAAGTTCAAAGTTCTGCAGTGTTTTCATGAAAGCTGTTAAAATCCATGACACTCACTGTCATTATTCAGCTCTTTTCAGCTTTCAGGTGGCAGTAGATCATTATTGTGTCAGGTTAACATATCTGAATGTGCTGTTCTTTTCCAGTTGGCTCTGGAAAAAGAACTTTGGTTCTGTTGTCTTTCTTACTTTGCTTCAGATAATTTGTTTTCTCTGCTGTAGTTGCCTCCAGACATACAAATGCTGTAGCTGTTCCTTTTCCTCTTTGTCTGTTTTGTCTGCATCTTGATTTCTTACAAGTCTTGCTGCTCAGATAGCATTCATTCTTTGTCATTGTTCTATTTTTCATACTTTTCAGATACAGAGGCAACACAGAAATTTCAAAAATGTCCAGTGGACTCCTGGACAGTGTCCTACTTCGATGGACACAACTGATGCCTGTTCTCTCATTCCAAGGAATGTGAATTGTTTGACTGTGAGACCTGTTTCAATTTGTGGCCTTGGGAATTTATCAGTTCTTAGGCACTGTCCCTGACAGTCCTTCCATAAGGCTGATTTTGATTTGGCCACAGATGACTTCAGGGTGCACCAAACTAAACACAGCTTCCCACTGGGGGCTTTGGTTCTTACATTTAAGCTTTTGAGTTGGCTCTAATAATGAAAGCCCATCAAATGAGTGCTTTGACATACACCACGTTTAATCACTTTGGCTACAGTCCTTCAATATTCCTCACGCAGTCTACAGTGCAAGAAAAGCCTGATTGTATGGGGAGTGAGGTTACTGCCATATTCTTGGAAAAACAAACATTGTGAAATTTTGGCTCCAAATTAACACTTATTTCTCTTATCACATATAGTTTTCACCAGTATACCATGAGTTCTCAGCAATTCTAGTATTTAAATTTCTACTTGTTTTTTTTTTAAATTATTTATTTCGTTTTATTTTATGTGTATTAGTTGGCCTGCATGTATATCTGGGTAAGGTTGTCAGATCCTCTGGAACTGGAGTTACATATGGTTGTGAGCTGTCATGTGGTTGCTGGGAATTGAGCTCAGGTCCCCTGGAAGAGCCACCAGTACCCTTAACCTCCAATCTATCTCTCCAGCCCCCTCCTAATTGTCTTTTAAAAATCAAATTTTGATAGCATGATTTTTGTCATTCACTAAATTAAGTGATGTCCACTTTGAATGTCTACTTTTATAATTTCTACTTAAATCTTTTGTTTTGTGTTTGTTAAAAATGCCAAAAAAATTCTTTAATATTTTCTACATATTTCATGTAGCTACTTATTGGTAGTTTGTTTGTTTGTTTGTTTGATTGATTCTTTCTTTCTTCCTTCCTTTCCTTCTTTCTTTTTTCCTTTCTTTCTCTCTTTCTTTCTCTCCTCTCTTTCTTTTTTTCTTTCTCTGGATTCCAAGGTATGCATGGTATTTGTTTAAGTCATTAGACATTAATATATACTCTGTCTTATCTTGGGACTATCATTAACATCTTAGTGGTCAGGAATTCAAAGATGAAAAACAAAAACTCCCTTTACAGATCTTAAAACAAGTATCAAGTTGCTATGTGCTTAATAGTTACTATCTTAGCTGTTAATGTAATTCCTTTCGATAAAGATAATGTATTAAAAAATTTGGGGACCAAAAAGTGCACTTGTTTCTTGCCCACAGATACAGAAAGAGATATATACTTTTTTATTTTGGTGTTTGTTTATTTTGGTTATATTGAACATAGGTTTTCTGAACAGTTTTAATGTTGCTTATTTTTTTTAATGAAACTTGTATTATTAAACACTTTTGGGAATTATTTTGTAATAAATAAGTTGATATAAAAACCTATAGATTGTATCATATAACAAGAATTGTTTTCCTTCTCACATGGAAGTCTGCCTGCTTTGTCTATTGGCTGAGGTCTTTATCTATTGAATACTTCTTTTACAGTTTTATTAAGCACACGTAAAAGCTCACTATACTTTACTGATCTGAACTATTTTACAAGCTAGCAAAAGATGAGCTGAAGAGATGACTCAACCGGTAAGAATACTGCCTGCTCTTCCAGAAGACCCAGGTTCAATTCTAAACACTCACATGGTAGCTCACAACCATCTGCAATTTCTGTGCAGGGAATATGATGTCCCATTCTGCCCTCTACCTGCACCAAGCATATATGTGGTACACAGATGTATATGTAGGCACATAAAATATAAAAATTAAAAGATAATTTGATACAGGATCTTTCTGTATAGTCACAGCTGTCCTGGAACTTGTGGTATACACAAGGCTAGACTCAAACTCACAAAGATCCACCTGCCTCAGTCTCCTGAATGCATGTGCCACCACACACACCTGGACTTTAAAAAAATTAAGCTAGCAATAAAACTTGTTTTCTTAATTATGGTGAAAGGAGGCAGGGTGTCAAGTCCCAATTTCATAATGGGGGTTTTATTTAATTAATTGTTTGGTTTTGCTTGTTTGTTGTTGATTTTTGCTTTAAATCATATCTATATGAGTGTACATTGAAACATACTAAAAAGCAGTTCAAGTGGTCACTTATGTAGTACATTCCTTGCAATCATAATCAAGAGCTGAATTCGTGAAGTTAATTTTTCATACTGATACCTGCTGTCGATGGTAATTCAACATCTTTGGGATTAGCTTATTTTGAAGTAGTGGCTTTGCTGATACTCTAGACTTTTATTTCTGTACCTAATTCAAGGTTTTGTTTTGTTTTTTTCAGTTATCATTTTTCCATTCAGTTTTTAAAACATTTTGTTTAAGCAGTATTAATGAAAACCCAATTTTTAACTTATAAACCTGTACCTAGAAATAACTTCCTTCTGACATAGTTACAAACATGAATAACTACATTCTTGATGTAGCAATATTTAAGGGAGGAATGTGGTTTTGTGCTATTCCATGGGACTGTTTCTTAAAGTTCTGTGCCTTGTAACATTTTTTTAGCTTTCTTGAAATAAGACTTTTCAGGCAATCAGTGCTAAGCTTGCTTATATGTTTTCTTTGGTAGTACAGAGTTTTAGCTTGACACTCCCTGTTTTTCTTCAGACTATTCTGTCTTTTCATTGCATGTTACTGCATAGTGGCTTTTGTTTTCCAATAGAATAAAAAATACAGTTGGTTTACTTTCGGTTCATTACCATTAGAAAAATAATCACTAAGTGGGCGGTGGTGTGCATACCTTAAGTCCCATCACTCAGGTGGCAGAGACAGGCAGACCTCTTGAGACCAGCCTGGAGTATACAGAAAGTTCTAGGACAGCCAGAGCTACACAGAGAAACCCTATGTTGAAAAACCAATAATAACAACAATAATAATAAAAATCACTGAACTACTGAGACTTAGATTCTCGCTCTCCATTTTGACAGCACATAACTGGACCTCAGTGGTTTGTTCAGCAAACATTTATCGAGAACTTGGTAACTGCCAGCATTCTGGGTGTTTCAATTGCCCTTGAGGAATTTGTATTTCAATAGTGAGGGACAGACAATTGAAATAAGTCCTAGGTGCTTCACAATAAAGGAATAAGCGAAGACTTTCTGAAAATAACTAACTGCTCAATAAATATTTGAAAGAATTGATAAAAAAGATTGCATGAATTTAGGAAGGTTCTGCAGAGCATCAAAGAATAAGTGAAGTGACAGCATAGAATAGAATGGGGACAGACATCTTTGCCAACTATATATCTAGCATGGTATGAGTATCTAGAATCTATGAAGAAATACATTCTTGTGTGTAGCTAATATATGCTTATGAAATGGGCTGGAGATATGGCTAAGCCATTCAAAAGCTAGGCTCACAACCGAAAATATAAGAATTCAGTTTCCAGCACCCACGGCTGTCTCTCCAACCACCTTTAGACTGAGTGGTTGAGGCACATGCCTTTAATCCCAATACTTGAGAGGCAGAGGTAGGCAGATTTCTCTGTGAGTTCAAGGCCAGCTTTGTCTACAGATTGAGTTCCAGGACATCTAAGGCTATACAGTGAAGCTTTGTCTCAAAACAAAATATAAAGTGAATAAGTAAAGAAACTTAACTAGAAAACTATGACAAACAAATGAAAGAAATTCAAACATTGAACAAATAATCTAGTCAATATTTGAATAGACATATTTCAAAAGAAATGGAGAAAAAGTTCAGTAGTGAAGAGAGAGCACTGACTGCTGTTTCAGAGAATAGAGATTCAATTTCCAGTACCCAAGGACAGCTATAACTGGGCCAGGCATGGTAGTGCAGGCCTGTAATCCCAGCACTTGGGGAAGCAGAGGCAGGTGGATCTGTATGAGTTCAAGGCCAACCTGATCTACAAAGGGAGTCCCGGACAGCCAGGCCTACAAAAAGAAACCCTCTTTAAAAAAAGAAAGGAAGAAGCCCTGTCTCTGTATGTATGTTTGTTTGTTCTTGTTTGTTTGTTTTGATTTTCCAGACAGGAATTTTCTGTGTAGTCCTGGCTGTCCTCGACTCACTGTAGTCTAGGCTGACCTTGAACTCACAGAGAAGTGCCTGCTTCTGCCTCCTCATCACCACTGCCTGATGAAGTCGTGTCTCTGAAAAAGAAAATGAAAGTTGATTTAGGTCTCTTAGTAACTTGTGTCTCTGTATTCCAGATACAGTTCTGAATAAAAGAAATATAAATTTAACAAAGATACTTTTCAAACTAAATGGGCAAAGATTGTATGACCTTTCATTTCCATTCATTTCAATCAAAAGAATTCAGGGTCTGGTGTGTAGCATACCCTTAAAAACTAGCACTCAGGAGGCAGAGGCAGGCAGATCTGTATGAGATTGAGGCTAGCCTGGTCTGCATTACACAACAAGCTACAGGCTAGCCATGGCTACATAGAGACACCCTCAAGTATTACAACAACAATATATATGTGTGTGTGTGTATGTGGAAAAGACAATATACAAATATCTATCATTTCAACTAAGTCATCTTCATTGAAACTTAGCAAAAGGTTTCCAACCCTATTTTATAGATGAGGACACTAGGGTAACATCTTTCTTAAAATAATGTTATTAGGAAGTACTGATGTTTGTATGATACACCATTTTCCTTGCCTCGTTTTAGTAAAATAAGATCATTTTCCTCTTACTAATAGTTTTTTTTGAGGGGTCGGGGCCTGGGAGGTTGAGTGTTTTGGTTTGGTTAGGTTTTGTGGTGATGCTGGAGGTGGAACTGCATGCTACACAAGTGCTCTACCACTGAGCTCCACCCCAAGCTGGAGCATATGCTCACATAGCCCTCAGGCTGGCCTGTATCTTGCCACTAGCAGAGGATTGTGTTTGTGTGTTTGTTTGTTTGTTTGTTGAGACAATGTCTCTCTACATAGCCACTGGCTGTCTTGGAACTCACTATGTACACCAGGGTGGTTTTGAACTATCAGAGACTCCACTCCACCTGCCTCTGCCTCCTCTGCCTCCTGAGTGCTGGGATTAAAGGCATGAACCACCACTGCACAGCCAAAGGATGATCTTGAACTTCAGCTCCTACTGCCTCCACCTCCTGAGTGTGGAGATTACAGACATGAGCCACCATGCCTGGTCTGTGCTGTAATGGAAATTAGACCCAAGGCTAGGCAAGCACACAGCCAAACTGGGCTATATCCCCAGCCCCTGAGGCGTTTTCAGTATTAGAAAATTGGCACTGTTCAAAGCTGACTTCTGAGCTGTAGACAGGTATGTAATCCTTATCCAATGGCCTAGATCGTCATTATCTTTATAGTTACCTTAACATGTGTATGTTCATAAAAAGTAGCACACAATCCTAATATTTTTTATTTTTTCTAGGAATAGTGGACTGAAAAAATCTTACATCATATCTTCCCACCTCCCAAATGGTGCAAGAAGTGTCTCTAAAATACTTCATCTTTAAAAGCTCTCATAAATTGCCAGGTGTGGTGGTGTACCCTTGTAATCCCAGTGCTTGGGAGGCAGAGGCAGGCAGGTCTCTGTGAGTTCGAGGCCAGCCTGGTCTTCAAAGTCAGTCCAGGACAGACACAAAACAACAACAAAACCAAACAAACAAAAGAAATGAAAGCTCTCATAATTCAAAACTGCTAGTTATTAGACATTCTATCCCTTGCCATTCTCTTCTGTCCTAGGATATTTTAATTCTCATGTGCCTATGAAGTTTTAGGCCTCGGCCTAAGCCTAAGAATGATTTAACCTACCCAAGCCTTGGTATCCTGTGTCATTCCCCATTTAATCTGCTTATCCTAAATG